GCAAAGAAACCATATCACAGCACCTGGTTTCCAAAACGAAAAAAAAATTGTTGATTGAAAAAAAGGGTATGTTTTGTGTCCCCTTTTTTTGTCCTGAATGAGCTCTAAATACATATAGTGCTTGAGAAAGAAAGAGAGAGGAATTGATGGGCCTTTTTTGCTCCTCTCTTTCCCGCAAATAAAACCGAAGACGACGTGCTCCTAACGCACGAATAGAGGCGCCCCGGGCCAAAACAGTTTTCTTCACAGCCGAAAGGAAAAGTAAAAAGGATATGAGGGCCTCATTGGCCTCTTTTATTTTCTCAAGTGCCGCCTTTTGTGCGTGTGTGTTTGTCATGTGTGGCGCCGAACTGTGACACCAGCCCAGCCTGCATAATATACGGGTCCCGAAGCTTCCTGTTTTCAGAGGCGTCTCTTTTCAAGAAAAAAAGGAAAAGAAAAGAAGGGCTAAACGAACGGGGGAGAGAGAGAGAATATATGTTCAAACTATTATTCAAACATTGTTACGAAAATTGACAAAATTACGTTTCCTTGAAATAATTCTCCAATAATACAATACAAAAAACAGTACACTGGCAAAATGTGCTTGGAACCTCAGCCAAAATTCAAAAGAAAAAAAAGGTATACAGCATATGTTCTCCCAGGAACCCTCATTGAATTTTTACCCTGATGATGTGCAGAAATACTTGATTATTCACAGAATTTATAATAGGAACTTGATTTCTCAATGTTTGACCCTCAGAAGACAGCATTGAAAAATGCAGTTGAGATCGAATCTAGGACAGTTTAAGACAGGGGTTATTTGTGACAATTTTAAACAATTATATTACAAACAGATATCTACGATTATGCGGAAAATTATAAATTATGCCAGTTCTGGAAGAGGAAAAAAAAACAAGAGAAAGTGAAGACGCATATGAAGGTTTTAGTTATTGATTTTGCTGTCTCTATAGTTAAACATGTCTCCGATTGGCCTTGTCTCAAATCATCCCTGTCCCTCAAATTGTCAATCTTGAATTACCCATATCCCACAGCTGATGTGAGTTGAATTTGAAAGACATCGACAATATTTTGCTAGGCTGAGTTTTTCCAGCATCGTCACCCTTTGAAATCTAACTAATATTCCCAACCATGATATTATCTCCCTACTTTAAGTGAAGTAGTAAAATTTGGCACTTTATTAAACCTATCGTTTTCTTTTACGCGTCTTTGAAAAGTAGCCCAGACGTTGGAATGCTGAACGGAAATGCTTCCGATTTAGAATCAACCGCGGATCTCAGAATTTCCGAATCTTTTCTTCTTCTTCAAGTAAAATCGTCAGTGTGAGAGAGAAGGAATTTCATGGTTTTCTTCTTCTTCGTAGGCGACTGGATGATGCGGAGAAAAAGCCGTTCATCGAAGTTCGGCTTTCTGACGCGTTCTAGGTATTTTTACTTGTGGGCCTGATGTTCATGGTCGGAGCTGCAGCGTTCCCAGTGCTCGGTTGAGTTTTAAGAGGGGGCCCCGCTGTAGCAGGCCGGTCGGAGTCCACCAACAAGAAAGGCGCGTCGAAAGCCAACGCACTAGATGGCAGTGCTACAGGACCCGTCTTGCCCACTGCGAGGAAACGTCCCATGAATCTGGACTCCGGGTTTGTTTTTCCCCGTCATTCTTGCTTCACGTATCTCCAACAAATCTCTGAGAAAGGTTTTGGAAAAAACTAAAGGAATCTCTTCATTTTTAAATTTCACGAGAGTCTTTACACAATATTCTCCGTACTGTATTTTCAATATAATGCAGTCTTGTTGTGTTTTTTCGTTTTCAGAAATGTTCAGTACTGTACTGTACATGAATGTAAAAAAAAATAAGGTAAGTCCACGAGAAGCTTCCGCAGCTGCCCCAGCAGCTTTTCAACGCTGCACAGCGGCAGCAGCCGCGTCTAGGACTCACGCACACGGCACCGCCGGTGCCGGTTGCACTGGTTCATCATCACCATCAACAACCCCCGCGGTGGTGGCGGTGGTAGTGTGCGACGGCGGTAACGGTTGAGCTTGTCGAGGCAGCCGTTGTAATTATTATTAGTATTATTAAGTCCACGTCCGTCACACAGCGGACCTAGCCGCCGCCGCCTGGTGTCGTCCAACGTGGACGCCAGATGCTCGGCTTTCGTCAACAAGTCTCACGACTTTTATCGCGGCTCCTATTTGCACGGCCACCGTGAGTTATTGCGTGTTTCTGCTTTATCTTTTTCTTTTGAATGCTTCATTTTATTTTGCAATTTGCAATGACAGTCAGTCAGTATAATCAGTATATGGATGAAACATGAATGCTGGGGTTGTCCCAGTATATCCGCGAGGGATTTTACATTCTCCACGCCTTTAAAGTGTTTGAATGTTTTTTTTAAGGTTTCCCGAAATTTTTTAGGATTCTAAATTTGAACAGCATTTTAAGACATATTGCATGTTGAAAAGTGCACAATTTTCTGATGCAGCTAAAGTTCTTCACACTCATATCACAGATTGCTGAAAATGAATCAGAGGAGTTTGAAAGTTATCAGGTTTTTATTGTTGTTGAGAATATCATCCTTCTAACATCCAACTTTTTTTTCAATTTTTTTCAAGATGATCACCTCGTTTCAGCAGAGCAGAGAAAAAAAACGCTCAACAGTTTTTTGAGGATTGCAATGGCGTCGCCTCAAGTTTCAAATTTCCCCAAAGTTTTCATTTAATAATTTGACATGGCTAATTCTCTGTGCAGGGAAACTCCAAGAAGCAAAGTCAAGAAGTCCAGTACAGTACTGTGTTGCATATTTCCATTGGTTTTTGTACAGTAGTTATTTTTTTATCCATTATACTGTATTGTACTCGAATTGATCAATGCCAGGAATTAAACAATTACATTAATGTACTACATATATTGTGATTCTTCCCATCCATTGATTGATCGGTGTTCAATTAACAGGGGATCAGCAGCAGCAGCAACTGCTCCAACACCACCACCACCACCAACAACAACAACAACAGCAACTACACCAACAACAACAGCAGGTCGTCGTCGTCGTCGTTGTAGTTGTAGTTGTGGTCGTTGTAGTTGTCGTTGGTAAGCTGAAGTCGTTGCAGTTGCAGCCGCTCATGTAGTCACGTCTACGTGACCTGCTGCTTCCGTAGCTGTCCAACCTGAGCTCCGACGGGACGCCGTTGTTGTCGGGGGCGGCCCGAGTGGCGGCAGCAGCGGCGGCTGCAGGCTCAGCCCCCGGCTGGCCCAGCATGGCCTCGTCCTACCATCACCACCACAACCATCATCACGCAGCAGCAGCAGCAGCTGCGGCGGCGGCTGCTGCAGCTGCAGCCTACCCAGGCTACCATCATCATCATCATCATCACCCTGCTGCCCAGGCCTCGTACCTCAGCTACACGCGCAACTACTCCCACCTGCATCATCCGGGCGCCGACACTCCTGCAGGTACTGTACCAGTGGACGACGACGGGGCGGGCGGGCACCTAGCATGATTAGGAGTGACCTCTATGGAAGCTGCGCAGCGGAGCACAGGTGTCAGAAATATACTACAGCGAGAACAAGTCCAACAGCGCCGCCGCGCCTGGGGGATGAGTGCAGCGGCCGTAGTCGTCCTGGGTCGTCGCCGTGGCTGAGTTTTGCCATGGTGCTTAACTGCAGGAGGCGGTCTCTGCGTGTCGCTGGTCGCAGTGGCGGCAGCGAGTACCCCTACGCGTCCTGCTTCGTAGCCCAGCAGGCGGCAGCCTCGTTCCTGCACCAGCAACAGCAGGCGTCCGGCTTCACGACGACGACATCGTCATCATCTTCCTCGTCGTCGCCCGCATCTTCAGCCTGGTCTTGAATTCCCGCTTGATTCCTCGTACTTCACATAGTTCTCATTTTGTATAAGTGCGACAAGTTTTTTGTTTTTGCTGCTGTAACAAGAGACAGCGGTTGTGTGAGCAAATGTGCCGACGACGACTGCTGTCAATGGAAACGAATGAAAGTGTTCCATTTTTTTGTTTTTGGTCGAGTGCGAGAGTATGTTGGTAGACGATTTTCTTCTGGTCCGGCGAATAAAATTTGAAATTTGGTTTTGGATTCTCGATGGCCTTTGCTGCGGGAGTCGACTCGAGAGTGACAGTAAATCCTGTAGGAATTGCACAAATCATTGTGCCGAAATGTTGAGATTTCACAACACTTCCCAATTTTCTCAGGCTGATTGTCAAGCTGTTCTCTAGCGTCGTTTTGGTGGCAATTCCATCATACGTTTGATCATTTCGAACAATTAAATCTGCGAGGCTAGTTTTTGCGAACGGTAAACTACGGTACAGCACTACAGTACTTTAGCTGCTATTGTATGGAGAAGTTGACATGCAATGGAAATATTCTTTGCCATTTAGCGGATTCAGTATGGCGTACCAAAGAATTGCCGAGACCTTCTGAAAGTGTAAAACCAGGATTAAATCAAAGCATAAAAATTAATCTGAAGAGTATTGTCGATGAGGACTTGTTAGTCATGTCAATTGGTTCAATACTGTATAATTATACTGTAGTGTGAAACGAGAAAATGCATGTCTTTTTGACGCAATCCCTGATGGGCATCTGATAAAAAGGGGCACCCTGGATGACATGCCCCAGTACCCTGTGCCGCCCCGCCCCCTCAGACCTCCACCAGCCAGAAGCTAGAGGGAGCTTTAGGCATTGGTCTCACACATGGCGGCTCCCGAGTTCGGACGAGTAAGAGATCCTTTACAAGTGATGTCGGTAAGTCGTCATAGTTTCGGATCTGCGTCTCAACGAGGTTGAGAGTCACAGACGATATATGGACTTGATACTAACACTAAGTTAAAGACCAATTGAGCAACTCTACAGTCAACCCCCATCTAACAGACTTGATTCATGCAAGGGATGAGTCTGTTAGACGAAAAGTCCTTTACATGAATTCAATTACATAAAAAATTTCAATTTTCAACACTAATTTCAAACCAAAATAAGTCTGTTTGGTGGATTTTGTCTGCTGGGCAGGAGGAAAAACTGCTTGCAGAGCTGGTCTGTTCCGCAAAAATCCCTTACACGGGAGGTCTGTTAGGCGGGGGCCACTGTATAGTCAATGACTTGTGCAAGGAAGGATGGCTTTGCGACTCCATCCCAAGAGCAAACAATCTGTGTGGAAGGTTTGCAATGTCTTCTTCCCGTTCTCTGATCCGTGGGATGGTGCAAAGATCAATATGCATCCAGTTTCGGTGAGATTCCTTTCCTTTGTCAAAGTGAAGTAATTTTTTTGAACAAGGAACAAATCCTTCTTTGTGTTCTTTACTGATGTGATTAAAATCTGTCATAATGAGGGATATTTATTTGACGAGCAAAATTACTTCTGTATGGCTTTAAAACGTTTTACTTGTTGCTGAAATGAGAGTTGCATTGCACTCCTGATTTCTTGGATTAATCCATAAATGAATCATAATTCTTGGATGTCTATATTTGTGTGAGCTCTATTACTGAATGCAAATTTTTTTTTCTTTCCAGATGGTGATTTTTTAAGAAAATGCAGCGTCCTTACCTCTGAATGGTCCATTGGCAAGATCCGCATCAAGAAAGCAATTCAGAAGACTTCCAAATGCCAAGACCACTATTTTAACATTTAAACAACTTCTGCCTGTAATGTCATCTTTCTCAAAGCAGCACAATTGAAACTGAATAAACTTGCCATTACACACTCTTGTTGAAATAAAATGTATGATTCTACTCAAAAAACCTTGTCCTATTGTCAATAGAGCTTAAAATACCTTTTCCAATTTTAGTTGTTTCATTCTGATTAAACCCTCTTTTTTTTACTTTACCTCACAAACATTCAGATGTTTACTGCAATTCAGTGCTTTACATTTGCTAACTTCCAACTTGCTGAAGTTATTCAAGTCAAGCTCCCTTCTCCAAAATTGTAATTAACTGCGTCATCTGTTTTTATTTCAAATTATGATTTAATGTTATGTTCCTACAATTTGAAATTAATGTTCATCTTAACTTATAAGTGACACTTAGTGCTGAGGGATAAAATTATTCTGATTCCATTCCCTTTGTAATATTTTAACCTATCCTGCATTGTAATATGTTGCCTCCAGCTCCTTTTTAAAAAATGTGTTGAATTTTCCCAAAATGCTGAAAACTACAATGTATGATGGTTTTGGACTTGAGCATATTCCAACTCTTAAGTGGTGAGTGCATTTTACTTGTTTCTAAAATTATGAAGAAAATACAAATTCATCCATTAAGTCGGGTGTGTCATTTCATTCCTTTTTATTTCTCAATCTACATTCATCACAGCTTTTCCTTTGACACATGTCATTCAAGAAACAAACCAAAAATCTTCAGACATTTTGCCAAGTTGTGTTGACACATTTGCTGAAGTTAAATCTCTAACTGAAAAGATCTATGTTCATGTTTTGCTCATGTTATTTATGCATTTTCTCCTGAAAATAAAAAACAAGTCAGACCTTGTTCGAGCTTGTTCCATTTGTGTGTTCTGTGATGTATTCTTTGCCCGCTATGTTGTTGGAAAGAATGTTCAAACCTTGGGATGCTGAAAAGTTGCAAATCCAGCTTGTTTATTGATGTATCTGTGTATTATATTAAGCCCTCACTTTTTTTGAAGTGGTTGGAGTTGCTCAAAATCTGTTGGCAGTTGCCTGAGACAATTTTGAGCGTTCACCAAAATTACATGGAGTATCTGAAGAGTTTTTCAAAATCACTTTGAGTGACTCCAATGAGTCACCTCCAAGGTGTTGAAAATCACTTGAAGTTGTTCTGCAGTTCTTGAAGGACTCTTAGGGCATACAGTTGCCTAAGCTGAATCATTACTTTTCACATAAAGTGCATGGTACAATTACAATTCTGAAACTCTCCAGTTTCAAATATCCACAACAGTGTGCCTTGCTGAGGCCAGACTTGCCAGGGACAAAACCATGGGGAAACAATGCAAGATTGGTGAAAGTGCACAGACTCATTATATCAAGCAGCAGCATTAAATTTTCAAGTCTTCATGAATTTTAGAGTGAACAGTACATCACTTTAAGATTTCTTAGGGAAATTTAATGGCATTTGTTCATAGAGCAACTTCAATTTATTGTGGGGAAACAGAACCTTCTGATTTGATACTGCTCTTATATATTGGTGGAGTCCTTGAACGTCTCGCGTGATGCATGTATTTCATGAAAGCAGCCAACTTTTCACGCCAGAGAACGAGACAGCTCTCTTGATTGCATAAAAATATTGAGGCACCACAAGATTACGTTGAATTCCAAATAATGAAACATTGAAACAATAAGAATAGTCTGCCGTTTATATTTTTCACAAGTAAGAAAATAAGGTTGGGTGAGGCAAAGTAGGGGTATTTTGGGGGGAAGACAGTGTGTTGTTGTACAAAAGTTGGACTCATCCCGACTCTCACTCTTCTGGCCATTAACCATAGGATGCTCGCAAGTAAATAATGCATCCTGAAATCAATCAGTCGGAAAATGTAACTCACGGCAAGATCTTCAATTCTCGTTTGCCTAAACTTGCTTTTTTTTGGCTTCGGAACATCAGATCCTTTCGGTAAACGGATGACGAAACAATCCATTGGGAAATGGCCTTTAGTCCCAGCACTTTCGGATATCCCATGAAGCTGATGGCAAACTGGATGCCAGAATATTTTATATCATCTGAATAAGTCGTAAGTCTCCTCCACGACACTCGGGAGCCTAAAATTTTTAAGAAATTTCCTATGCCTAAAACGTTCACTTCGACTAGAATTGTGCGTGCCAGCGAAAGTTCAGAATATTGAAACAGAAGGGCTCCGCTCCTGACTCTCTGTCCTTCCTATAAGGAATGCATTCCTCCATGATTATAAGGACAGGGTTGGAACCCTTAACTATATAGGATGCTCAAATAAATAGCTCCCTCTAGTTCCTTGCTGGTGGGGGTCTGTCACCCAAGGAAAGACTAGGTGCCTTGGCGGGGGCAGACCGCCAAGCACGGGTGGTGGAGTTCTGGTGTATGCCCATCCAGGGTTGAAACTCTTGATATTTGCACAGGTGACAGACTGGACATGGAATAAGAAAATCGTCGAGAAAAGTACCACTGAAGAACACCAGGTGTCGCACACTCACAGGAACAAACAAACCAACAAACACGCGCCATCCGCAAATTTGCAACATCTCGTCCAGTCTTCAATCTCGTCGCCAGATCGGCTTGGGATCAGCTTTCTCCATGATCTCAGTTCAACACATGAAACCCACAGACATCACGAAGAAAGCCTGGCCCAGCGCCGACCTCACATGCGTCTTCGTTCAGCTCTCGTCCATCTTCCAGCTCATTTCTGCAAAAAACACGAGAGGGGCAATTTTAGTGGCAGGCATTTCCAAATCATACAGCACAGTACAGTAGTGTATACGTAGATCAGAAATCATTGGACGGATTCCGTCAGGTTCAGTTTTATACCCTGAAAATCTTCAACCAAACACGTTAAAAAAAAATCAAAATCAAACACAAGCTCGGCAAATGTTCTTTCGAATGAAATCGACGTTTCCGTGTTCACTGGCATGACCACAAAATTTCTCGTGAAGATCGTGAGAGTTTATACTGTACTTGGGCTGTCTCAGCAACAGGAAGCTTTTAAATTTCAGTCTTGTACAGTACAGCACTTGGAAGAAAAAAATAAAGAATTGACGCAGACGGACAAGAGGCATCAATTCGAATTCGTGATGAAATGGACGCGAAAGAATGAAAATAAATCCCAAGTATGCGGAAAATCAAATTTTTCATAGCATCAAATTGTACATTGTCCTCGAATTAAATGTCTGAAGTATCCACCAATAATCAATCACCATTTTCGTGCTGTGACAACCATTTTTCATCAAACAAGTAGAAGTGATGACGATTCACTGAAAAGGTGTCCACGCATTTCATTCGGTGGCTGGAGAGATATGTATGCCAAAATTTACTTTCCGAAGTGCCTTGTTAAAAAATAAACGCCCTTCACTGACTGATAAATGTTCAAGGAATAAGAAGAAAGCTGTGAAATTTAAAACGCAAAGCACATGTGAGTTTTCCCCATTTGATGACGCATCGAGTCGCACCTCGTTTTCTCCGCGCTTCTCCATTTCTCAAGTGCACCTGCATGATATTACAGTACTCTCCACAAGCAATTATATTTGTTGATCAGGAAAAATTCGGGGCTTTCATTCTTTTCTTTCTCACACAGGCAATTACTGCACTGGCAGCAACAAAAGGCTCGTGTATGTCTTGTTACTCGCAAAACGAGAAAAAAATTAACGTTCATTAATACAAGAATTGATTACGCACGCTTCAATAATTACGCCTCATTACACGTGAAAGGCTTCATTATAACAGAAGCTTGCCGAGAAGAAAATCTCCACTTTGACTCTCTCTCCAATATCCACGGATACATTTCGCAAGTTTTCCTCTGCTGAATTTTCGATACTTTTTCATCGTCGCTGAGCGATCCTTACTTCAGGGACACGGATTCCGTCTAGCTACAATATTTCGTTAGGTTAAAGTTATTCAGAAAGAGTGCATCCAAAATTTATAGACAACTGGATGAGCAACTTCTTTCATGCTAAACTCCAAATCCTTGAAAGTTTTCAGTGACAGCTGCAAGATTTTACTGCACCACCGGAAAAAACTTCAGAAAGCAGTTAGCGATTGATATGAAAATTTTAAATGGCCCGCAGTATGTCAAATTATGACGGATGCTGTTTCGACGCCAGCGTCACTAGAACAGCCTTCCCAGAAGGAAACTCATTTTTGGCATAATTTCGAAGACGTCGACCAGGCTGTTTACAGTTCTTAAAAAAATTGACTTGTTGCCCCCACTGACTACAATGCAGTGTGGTTTCCATCCAACACGAGAGTAGGTACAATATAATGTTCAGTAGTAAAATTAAATAGGGACTTCGAAATAGGTTTGAACCAACTCAAGTGAGAAAAATTGTCGATGCGGCATTCTTCTCTGGGCAAAGTTTCTCGACCGACAGATGAGGAAAGGAGTGAAGGGATTCCGATAAAGCTGGACTAGTTACGAGCTCGAGGTGATATAGACTTTGCTGGCCATGACCAAATGTGCTATTTTACCAGTTCCACAGTATTGTACTGCAATGTAAAAGTGTACATCATACATCCGAAATTTCCCTCAAAGGCAAAAATTTCTCAGGTCAAACTACGTAGCTCAAGCATCACCACAACGTTTCTCTCAATGTTTCCTCCGTATCGTACTCTACTGTACTGTGCTGTATTTGGAAGACAAAATTGTTACCAATTACCTCGTTGGCGAAGAGGACGACGACGAGACATGGCAAGCAGTGCTGCACGTCAGAAGACAGGACAACAACCAACCAACCACACTAAGCACAACGGCAGCGACGACGACCGTGGAAAGGGCGACATCTACTACCATCACCACCAAAAACGATGTAGATCCGTTAGTCCAGGCAGGGCGGGATCAGCTTTCACAATGATCTCAGATGAATCAAGACAATCTGGACGATCGCTGGGAAAGCCTGGCTCGCCACCGCCTCTCTCTCTCTATCTTTCTTCCTTCCTTCCTTTTTCCAGCATTCCTCCATCTCAATTGACCGCCAACAGATGTCATCGTCTCTCGAGCAGGATGAAATCAGCTTTCTGAATGATCTCAGACCCCGCGACAAAATCGGGGGCATTTCAGTCTGGAAAATCACTCGGAAAGCTTGCTTCATCGTTGCCCCTCTCGAAGCGCCGCCTCTTTCTTCAACCGCCTTCACTCGTACATCACAAACTCAATCCAAACAGACAAACGAACAGATGGACACACTGTACTGAACCATACTCATGTGACATCCCCCAGGAAACAACCATCGAATATTCCGTAAATGAAGAAAACTGGAAAATCTCCTCCCCCTCCTTCTTTGCAGATTGGCGTTCCATGCCAATACTGCAAAAAATGAAAACCTTACACGACTGCTGCTCCTGCTTACATGAAATATGTCAAGCAATGTCTGCCTATCTGAACTACAGCAAGTTGAAAAAATAAGGAACACCTATGGAAAGGCTGACACTCAGGATTGACAAATTTAGTACCTCAAGAAAGTTTTATTTTAAAAAAAAAAAAAAAAAGCCATGCCCAGAAACAGTTCCACAATTGCTTTGTACACTTGACCACATAGGATCAGCAATTTTTTCCCCATTCATATTCGCTTAGTATAATAATTATTCATGATCGATCACGTCAGAAAAATTACGGCGATTTCAAATTATCTAACTTCCTCGTAGGAAGAGCGGCGGAGTCTCATAAAGCTTGATTCAGAAAATTCGTTTTCACTTGTATTCCTAACCGAACCGAGAAACTCAGGTGAAACGCCTAAGCGCATCATGACAGAATGAATCCCTCACAAGCGACATCTACAAGTTATTTTCCACCTCGATGCTTCTAGCCACGCCACGGGAAAAACATTCAGTCCATTCCCTCGTAGGTGTCGCTGGTGCATGGCCACCCTCCTCCTCACTATCTGCCTTCCCAGTTACACAAGCTTATCAAGTACTGCACTGTAAAATACCAGTACTGAAAACAGAAAGAGACGTCACCGCCGGACACGGGAAAGAACACGACAACGGGGACAGAAAAGGCAGGAAACCAGATGGTCCCTTATCATACTTGGCCGGACACGCACCACACTTGTCCAACAACAGCAGCACCACCAACCAACCACCAGCGTTGAGCATACAGATAAGACCATATCGCGCGAAAACACACCGAACGAAACCTAAACCCCCTTCCGAACAAACTGCAGCACCGGAAGGAACAAACTAGGGATGATCCCTCAACAAGTCACAAGTATTAACGGAACTCCTGCGAAGCGACAAGACATACGATAATGTCGGGCTTCGACCACTCTGGCAACTCATTACAGCAGAAGAGTCCAGTTGGCGGTACAGTGATGATCGAAATACAAGAGGAAGGTAATCCACATTTCTCAAGTGGAAGAAAAAAAAA